ATTCCAACCATCTGAAGAAGGCCGGAGCGTACAACGGCCGAAACGTTGTGACAAATATGGCGACAAAGATGAGGACAATAGTCCGACTAATGTAAATACTGTACATAATACCTCATCTCAGAAATATAGACAGACTCCATTATATATATATATATATATATATATATATATATATATATATATATATATATGTTTCGGGACTACTTTACTCTCGAGACATTATTATTCTTCCACTCTTTCCTCCATTTTCATTTTAAATAATAGACTCGATTTTTCTTTTTATGTTTTACCAAGTCTATTTTTAGTTTCTAGATAATTGACAAAATAGAATTAAACACCATATAATAAATTGTTTATTTAAAAAAAAGTCATATTATATTTACAAATATTATAAATACAAGTGAATCAACTACAATGTAATATGTATCACCGTATATACTCGCGTATCATGCGACCTTTTGGAGACAGTGTGCTTCAAAAGTCTTGTCACACCTACATAGCTCGTGTCAGTCATCCGAAATAGAAAATTGTATTATCTACGGGTGACAAGATTCTTAGACCAACCTGTACATATGTTAATTTTATATCTCGTGTATAATGCGCACCCTTAAAATTATCTTTAAAATTAAGTCTTAGAAAGTCACATGATACGCGTGGACATATGGTATTTGCAATATTATAAACAAATAAGTATGAAAACAGTTTTTTATTCATAAATTTATGAAAAAAAGATCTGTAAACAAGAGATAAATAACATTTAAATAAATACATCAATACGTTTAAATGTAATTATAATTTTTGAAAAAAAAAATTTTTTCAAACGTGTTTTTCAGTTGCTATCATCACATAAATTCACTAAAATAGTTTGATATGTTGATTGATGCTCCATTTTGTTGAGAACTGACAACAAAAATGTGAAACACCATTTATTTTGTTTATTTACAAGAATAGTGTCAAGGTAGGTTTTAAAATTCTAATGCTACTTCGGATTTGGGTATCATATTTTTCATTGTCTGTTTCAACACGATAGACGGGGAAACAGAATCTCACGTCGCCAAATACTTAATAATGCAAGAAGCTACTGGAAGATATTAAAAAAGACTTTAGAAGGAACCAGAAACCCAATCAAAAACCAGGAACAAAGGATCAACTTCTTCTCCTGTCCAAAAGACCGAGGAGGAGTGTGAACCGGGCGACAGACGGCCCTATCTACTCCGACTGTGAAGAAGAGAGCGGAAACAACGAAATAAATAATAAGCAAATATCATTTCGGAGACGTCAGAAGTATAGAGTTGAAGTAGAACCGGAAACACAATCCTAAACCGGAAACACAATCCTAAACCGGAAACAAGGGATAAGCTCCTAATACTCAGCCAAAGACGGGAGAGAAGTGTGAACTGGGCGATAGATGAACCTATCTACTACTATTAAAACAGGTGGCAGATTATAGTCAGGTAGGAATAGACTTGAGCCTTAAGTCAGACTTTTCAGCGAAATCATGTTTTCCATAGATCCTCGTTCTGGAATAAGGGGTCGAAGTAGATGGTCTAGAAAGGAGAAAGTGTTCGTGAGCGACACATATAAATCTGGACTTATGGGAGAAGTAATCAGTAGTTTTTTTGTTATCGATGCAGCCAGAAAACAAATAGGAGGCTAAGATTGCAACAGAAACAGCCAGCCAGTCAATACAACTCCGACATAATATGGCTGACAAGAATAACAGCAGATATTACACCTTGACGCCTGGCTTTGTAGTTGTGCATCAAGGTGTATGAAGGTGTAAGTCTGTCTCTGAAGCCTCGACCCAAGCCCTTTATGGGAGCGGCGGCGATATTCGTGCGAAATGAATATCACTTGGGTGTTGTTTCAAATATTGCCTAGGTGAAAGGATTTGGTGAGCGAAGTTCACGCAGAGTTGAATTTCAATCATTTTTTGAGATATCTGTGTCTATATGATGGATGGTTTAAGTAAACTTACATAAATACATACATATGTACGTGCGTGAGCGGAAAACTCATAAAAAAATACTATATATATATATATATATATATATATATATATATATATATATATATATATATTGTCCAAATCGTGTAACACCATAATTATTCATCATTTCGTTTATGATTGATTTCATCACGATTCTCCTGTTAACCTTGTAGAGCAATTATACATTATTACGGCTCAAAGTAGAGTCCAATAGTCTTATACAATTCTCGGAGAATTCAGTAAGATATCTTTAATCATTTCTAAGATACAACGGTTCAGGGATTAATCTAACAATTGGACAATTTTGCTCTTACACCAATATATATATATATATATATATATATATATATATATATATATATATATATATAAAGGGGACATTGAGGTCAACACATAGCGGTGAAACAGACTGTCACCTCTCGGTGTTGACCTCAATGTCCTGTTTTATATTTGCATCCTTTTTATATTTACATATTTTCTATCCCTGGTACTGAGCACTTTAAACCATACATATAGAATACCTGAAAACTATATTTCATTTTCATATATATATATATATATATATATATATATATATATATATGTATATATGTATTATAATTAATTTTTTTACATAAGTGTTCTCATGTTTCAAAAACAGAAGCTAAAAAACCAGCTCTGTTTCATCCTCAAGCGAATTTTGGAATAACTAAACTTGAAATTTACGGAGCTTTATAGGCATATACATTCGAAATATTAATTACATGGAAACGGTGAAAGCAATTATTGTAAAAAAATAATTATAATTTAGGCTCTACTTATGCATTGAGCACTGTTTTTTTCGGTTTATTAACCTAACCGTCCTCCCCTATTTTTCTATATTTGCACACACACACACACACACGCGCGCGCGCGCGCACACACACACACATACATACACACACACACACACACATACACACACACACATACACACACACACACACACACATATATATATATATAAAGTTTGATATATTTATATAATTGTATATATATATATATATATATATATATATATATTACGTCAAGCATTATATTTATTAGATACTCGTTATTTTAACATCATTTATTTCGTCTAAGTAGTCCCAAACTCAAGAAGACTTATTAATATTTCTTTAATAAGTTATCTCGATGATCCAGGTCGGCCAATCAAATAAATAATGTTTAAAATAAGGCGGAATATCTACTGAAATGCGAGTATCCACTAAAGTATCTTTTCAAGTAATAAAAATTTTATTAAAAATAAATCTATCATTATTATATATATATATATATATATATATATATATATATGTATATAATTAGGAGAAAGTGTCCACGTGTGCTTCTTATAATATATAAAATAGATAGGTTAGTTAATAAAAAAAGGACAAACGAAAGGTTACCAATATAATCAGTACGATAAACATTTATTAAATATTAATTATTAACCATATGACAGAGATGAAGCACGGAAAAAAAGGTTTTAAGTTCGGAATTTTCGGACACGCCTGTGTCCTTCATCAATGGACCAAAGTATAAACACAGAAACGGGAAGTACTCACCGACAGATTTTTTTTTTCATAAATTATTTCAGACAACGTGGAATCAGAGAGAGATCGGTTTTTTGCTAATAATATGATTCCCACCAGAAAATACATCATCTACATAAACATCTGTCGGCGAGTAAAGGATTTAATATCTTCGTGAATACTTGAATTAGAGAAATTCGAGAAGTAACCAAGACGTAATTGGAAGAGACGGGTTGGCACTTGAAGAAATTATGATTGTTTCAATTGAATCTCTGCAGGCTTTACTGAAATACATTGGAATCTGCGTTTGCAACTGTGTGTCTTCGGTTGTATTTACCTGTACACGCTTGTGCACGATACACAGACTGTCACGGGAGTTTGCGTAAAGGACAATCCAATATAGCTAAATAGGAATTTAGTTTCTGTCTCTCCATTTCTCCTCCTCTCTCTCTCTCTCTCTCTCTCTCTATATATATATATATATATATATATATATATATATATATATATATATATATATAAAGGGACATTGAGGTCAACAGTCTGTCGCCTCTGAGTGTTGGCTTCAATGTTCACTTTTATACTTACATATATTATATTTGCTCTATCTAAGATATTGATCACTTTATCCATAAATATAGCATACCTTAAAATATATTTCTTCATATATATATATATATATATATATATATATATATATATATAGGAAAATTAAATATAAATTTGATGAGTAGAAAGGACAATTGTAGGGAAACAAAACGATGACAACGTGGACTATTTTTCCTGTGACGCATTTCGTCCGTCAGAACTTCCTTGAAGTGATGTCTACGCTGATGCAACTGCGCATGCGCCCGAAGAAGAAGAAGAAGAAGAAGAAGAAGAAGAAGAAGAAGAAGAAGAAGAAAAGTGGGCGAGTACGCTGACAATTTAAAATTTAAATGAATTTAATTTTTAACATATTTTATGGGTATATAATCAAACTGATTTCGTTTCGTTTTCCTTTAGTTATGTTTCCATCACTTTTGTTAGTAAATCTCCTACAATGAGTTAATGGAAGATCTGACAACGAAAGAGAAATGCTGTAAGAACCTGGATGTAAACATACGGTAAACGATCTAGTGAGTAAATCACTTTACTACACATTTTCATTTTATTAAATTGCTTTCTATTTTAGTTAGCGTAGCATTTTTAAATCAAAATTATGGCCACACACATTATTGTGAACATCTAATGCTTTTAATGTGTTGTTTTCTAAAATATCCCTTTTGTGTTCATATAATCTTTTATTTAAATTCCTTGAGGTTTCTCCTATGTATTGTTTGTGGCAATTATTACAGGTGAAAGAGTCAATTTCTTTCGGATTCTCTTTCATTATAATCGTATTCTCTTATGTCTTTCCCTTTTACGTTTTATTTCATTTTTGTCTTCTGTCTTTTTTCCATTTTGACTGTTTCCTTTTTTATGTAGCATATTTTTAGGGATCTTTTCTCTCTTTTCTCTTTTTCGCTTTCTTTCCTCATTCTTTCTTTTTCTTTAATTCTTTCGCTTTTTCTTTCTCTTTTTCTTTCTCTCCTTTTCTTTCGCTTTCTTTCTCTCTTTCTTTCATTCTTTCTCTTTTTCTATCTATCTCTTTCTTTCTTTATACTTTCTTTATTTGTGTTTCGTTTCTTTTTTTTTCTTATTTTCTTGAGTCTTTTCTTTTTCTTTTCTTTCTTTTTCTCTTCTTTTTCCTTTCCTTTTTTTGTCTTTCGCTGTTTCGTTAAACTTTATGATTTTTTCTTTTCTTTTTTGTTTCGTTTTCTTTTTCCTTTCTTTTTCTTTCTTTTTTCTTTCCTTCTTGCAATTTCCATTTATTTCTAAAATTCCTCACATTCGTAATTTTTTTAAATTTTATTTCTATCCATCGTATCATAAAAAATATTTACCCCCAGTCCCCCACCATATCTCTTACTTTCTATCTCCATGATGTTTAGTTGAACACTTTCTTTACCTTTGTTAATTTTTAATACGTTTGTTTGTTTTTTCTACACTCCTGCACATTTCAGTCTTAACCGGAAGTTGATAAAGACACATGCGCAACATCACGAATATATCTGACAGGCGAACCATAGCAACATTTCCAAGTTTATTGCAGCGAAACATTGACAGCCAAATGGATGATGCCAATAGACACGAATCAAAAGTATAGACCACAAAACTATTGAAAATAAAATTTTCTGACATTCCATTAATCTTACAACCTCAATACCATTTAAAGTAAATGCTTAATTTGTCAGACAGGATATAAAATATAATATTCTTCCTTTACGAATAATACATTCCGATATTACAACGATGTTGTACGATGTTAAGAATATTTACAACTAAAAGTTCCGCTTGGTTACGAATAATATATTCCATTATTGTGCATTTTTATTATGATTATTTATTACTAATATTTATTACGACCAATACTTTTGTTTGGATACGAATAATACCGTCTGCCATTAGGCATATTTATTACTATATTTGGACTAATTGCGACTAATACTTTGCGTTATTACGCATATTTATTATGATATTATAATTATTTATTACTAATATTTATTATGATACTGCAACTATTTAAGGCTAATATCTTTGTTTAGTTAGTTACAAAGAATATCTTCAGTTATTACGCATATTCATTAAGATATTATGACTATTTGTTGAGATATTACGACGATTTACGATTAATAATTTTACTTGGTTACAAATAATACATTACGTTATTACGCATAATTTTGTTTAGTTATGAATAATATTTCCGTTATAAGGTGTATTTATCACGATTATACAACTATTTATTATGACATGACTGTTTACGACAAATACTTTTGCTTGGTTACGATTAATACATTCCATTATTACGCATATTTATTACGAGACTATGATTATTTATTACAAATATTTATTGCAAATATTTATTACCACTATTTATTATGATATTACACCTATTCAGGGATAATATATTTGCTGGGTTACGAAAATGCATTTATTTATAACGAAATTATGATTATTTATTACGATATTACGATATTTATTACGATATTTACGACTCATACTTCCGATAATCGTTTCCGAAAAAATTTTTATTATGTAAAAGAGAAATTCTTCATCTCGCTTTTGCTGCAACTGCATATTTTGATTTCATGAAACCAACAGAAATGTTAAACATTGGAAAACCAATGATTTTATATCATTTGGTAAGATGTTGGTGAATTATTATTATTATTATTATTATTATTATTATTATTATTATTATTAATTTATTTATTTATTTTTGCCTACAAAACATTTAACTGGAAATTATTAAGATTTAAAAATTATGCATACAATTTTGTGGATAATTGAATAACAAAATATAAAATGCATCTGTTCAAGTCTATAGTTAAGTTATTTTCCCTCCTATCCATATAAACTACTTCTTAACCTAACCCTCTACCTTGAGTGGACCTCTGGTCTTGTACAGGGTGAGCCCTACTGTAAAAAAAAACTCAAAAGGACTCCTTCAGATTAAATAATATTTTTATTGATGAAACTGTATATCTACCTATAGCCTAACATAATAACAAATTTATTTACTTTAGCGTCATTATTCATCAATGGAAATTCAGTTATTGAAGCATAGTGCCAACAAGACTCCTCACAAATCAAGGACTTTTCGCAAAAACCTCGCAGAGTAAATGAAGGCCGTTTTCTGAAGGTCTATAATATTATCCTTAACTAGCAGTATAACCCGTCTTTGCCCGGATCTTTCATTATTGGGAATTTTTACCGTTCAATTGGAGCAGTTTAAGTTTAGAGTCAGCCTACCCGAAAATCAATATTAGTAACAACAATTGGGTGCAACTGAGGCACATCCCCCCAAATTGGGGGGGTAACAATTTGAATGGGGAGTGGCTCTGAAAAGAACCGTTTTTGTGTTCTCAATCTTGTTTCAGCCTCACGCTCAGCAGCATTAGAAGAGGCGTTTCTCCTCAGCCGCTGAATCCTTTGATCAGCAGTTTCAGCCTCACGCGCAGCAGCAATTGAAGAGGCGTTTCTCTTCAGCCGTTGAGCCCTTTGATCAGCAGTTTCAGCCACACGCGCAGCAGCAGCAGTTGAAGAGGCGTTTCTCTTCAGCCGTTGAGTCCTTTGATCATCATTTTCAGCCTCGCGCGCAGAAGCGTTCATGTATGCTCTTCTGGAAAGCCGATGGCAACGTTGATTCTTCGGACTCAGTGGCTCTGATTGAAGCATTCCAAGAGGCATTTTGAGACAAACTGAACGTTCTAAAGACGATTCGTTATCTCTTATTCGCATGGCGGACCTGGCGGCAGCAGTTTTGCGACCTAGGCAAGTTCATTGGTGGCATGTCTTATGCAAGTATGAATTGTCAAATGGAATGCATTGGCAAATACCAGAAGAGAACGCTGTAAAGCTACAGGGATCACTAAGCTGGAATAACTTTAGGAAAGGTTGGAAAAATAAATGTTGAGTAATCATAAAAGTGAGCTTACCCATTACTATAGTGAATGCAATGCAAAAACTGTCAGGAGAATAAAAAAATAAATTGGGAACAGTTATAAACGACAATGAAAGCAACGACTTAAAACTGTAATAGTAGGCTTTATGCAACGGAAAAAGTAACCTCACTTGAGAGAGATTGAAATATTGGCCAAGAGAAAGGGAATGTGTAATTTGAACTCAAAACCAAATCATCGAAATCGGATGAAAACTGGAAACTCATAGACAGCATCCGATGACACACACAGACACACACACGCATACATACACACACACACACACATTTTGAAAATTATAGATATAGATAATATTTTTGCAATAATTTAAAATATTTATTTTTATTAAATTTTTATGAAAGGCATATATCCAAGAACAGATAGTAAATAGTAAAACATTTATGGGAGTTATAATGGACAGGAAGTAGTGGAGAGCCATTGTCGTCAACAATTTGGACTCAAAACTGGCACTGAAGAATTATCTATCAAGCCAAAAAAATTAATCAAAATCGGATGAAAACTGTGGAAACACATGAACAACATCCGATCACACACACACACACACACACACACATATTTTGAGAATGAAAGATATAGATTCCAAATCTCCCTAAGCATTTTTTCTATGTTATTATTAATATTATTATTATTATTGATGTTATCGAAGGAATTATAGTAACAAAGTCCCGGTAACTTTCATCGGTACCAACAGATCTACCTTTTGCAACACCCTCTTATCACTCTAGGGCAAGGAATGATTTGTAAATTTTAACGCCTTCAAAAAGAAACTATTACGACAAAGAACCCTTTTTTTAATTTTAATCAGCATGGATGGTTCTAACCTTCCATGGAAGCAATGGATTGTGCACTAATCATCTAACGTTTTAGACTAACACAACTGACTGGTGATATTTTTGTTAATTTCCTTATGGTTTGCAACTCTGTCAACTTTGTCAGCTTTAAATTTAAATGCAGTGTCAACCGTTTATTTTCTTAATTATTGCACTTATATTGTTCTCTCTCTCTCTCTCTCTCTCTCTCTTTCACACACACACACATTAATGGTATTTTTATTCATATTCTCTAACACTCAGTGATCGCTTGCGTTGTTATTACCTTGCTTGGGGTGAAATGATTTTTTTTAAAAGCAATAAAAATAAAAAATAAAATGTTAGGAATAATCAAGGGTTGTCTCCTCTTGTTTCGTGCAAGTGAATTCGAAGAGCTGAAAAGTTGATTGCTAAAAAGCTTTTGAAATGTAATATCTGACTGATTTTTAAGTGGTATTCCATTATCAACTTGAGCAAAATATATTGTAAATTCATCGTTGATTTTGAAAGCGCGAGAATTTTGCACTGGGAAATGTGTTTCTAAAATTGTACGTTAAGTGACCAGAGAATGCAGCTTTTTTCGCTGGTTTAGTTTTAATATTCAAATTTATTTAAATTATTCATGTATTTAAATTTATCAATCTCACTTGAAAACGGAAAAGAAGGAAAGGAAGAAAGAGTTGTAAAACACTTGACAATTTTAACTTTAACATAAAATAGCATAAAAAACAATTATCGTCTCACAGCTCAGTTTAAAAAAAGATCCCAGGTTAGAAAAATCAAAGAAAAAAAAAATGAATATAGAAAGAAATCAAGTTTGAAAAGAATTTTAGCAAAATTTTAAAAGTAAAAGAATGCAAAGAATTTTTTTTAAAAATATGTTACCATACTGGAATGGTAAAATCGGTAACTGAATTCTTTCAACGGTCCGATAACGGCTAACTTTGTTTGTAGGTGCATAACATGGTTGTCTGTCATCAACAAAGAGAAATAAATAAATAAAAAAAAACTTCCATTGCTCTTAAATTGTTATCTGTTCTAACAAGCGGGAAACATATGATGTAAAAATATCAACACAAACAAAAATGGGGCATGCAGACGACAGAAAGAAAGTTCTATGAGTGTTTCGCTACACATCCTGTAATAGTTCGACGATTCGGAATTTGTAAGACCATCCGTCAGAGGCTGTACTTTTCGCCGCCATTTTGTGTATACATGCTCTTTTGGTCATACACCGTTTCATTTCTTTCTTTCTTTTTTCTTTCTTTCTTTCTTTCTTACTTTCTTTCTTTCTTTCTCAAACACACTCATTCACTCACACACTTCATACAAATGATTACAAAAACACACATACAAACACGTTCGTAATTATATATAAACTTATAGATTTATATTTAGCGTTGTTTTACG